GAATAGTAAAAAAGAAAAAGATAACTGTATTTCTTAAAATTAAATACCGTTATTTGGTTGATTGTTTTCAAATGCCTCAAATATTTCAAAATTTTCTTCTACTTCCACATTATGTGATACAAGTATGTTATGTAAAACACAGCAAGAATATATAATCTGTGCCGCTTTCACAGGGTCGTAATGAAGTACCCTATGTTTGGAAAGGCACCGAAATCTGGTTTTTAAAACTCCATTACATCGTTCAACTGTATTCCTTTCTATCGGTGTTAATAACCGTGGCTGTAAAGGATATCCCAAATCGCCTGAAACATCACTATATAGTTTAAATTGAAATAGATAATAAATTTTGCCCACCTAGTAACCAAAAACCATGTTGGTTTTCTTGATAACTATGTTCCATATGGTTATACACGTTTGACATATTCCAAATAGCCGAGTCATGCATAGATCCAGCATATCTAGCATTACAGTGTAATATTTTCAAGTTTGAGTCACAAATCTGAAAATGTTTATATAAGTATATGTTTCAATACACATTTTTTAAAAAGTAGCATACAATTTGGCAATTGATGCTATGAAATCCTTTTCTGTTCAGATATACAAAACCAGGATGCTGTGCATGATTAATTGGGGGTGCAATTATTGCTATATGCGTACAGTCTATGATATAATATATCTTCCACTTAGATGTGTTGTGATTATAAAACTAATTTCTCCAATACAACGGCTAACTACTGCCTGACTTAATCCTAACAAATAATCCTGACCTACACTTTTTTGATAACTGCCATGTCCATAAAAGTGTAATGCACACAGAACTTAAAAAGAAAGGTATATGTAGGTACTGGTACATATCGAAAAACTGCAGTGTTACTTTCAAAATATTAGGTACTGGGGTGTGTTCCAAAACAGTTGCCCTACGTCGGATAAAGAACAATAGTTAACGTCATAGGGCGATTGGTTGTATACCGTATTTTTGGAACGGTAAAAGATCAAATCAGATCAAATTATATAACCTCAACTGTACCAGTTTAAATTTGTTTCTTATGCTGTGTTTAAATTATGTATATATTTTATATATTCTGTGTTGTATATTATTATTTTGGGATACAGCAAGAGCAACATAGTTTCCTCTATGATAAAGAAACAATCCACAAAATATGGAAAAATTTGTTACTGTACAATTAGAAAAACTCTTATTCAATAATAATGTATTAGACACAAGTTCTTCAAATGATGAAGATGAGGATCTGGAAGAACAAAATACAGTAAATTATATTCAGCAGAGGCTGCTGAAAAAAAATGTGCCATCCAGGCTTAAAAATTTTATTTCCGAAACAATTCGTGGCTCAACAGCCAAAGAATTTCAATCACATTTTCGAATAACAAGACCAATGTACCAATTCTTCTTGCAGAATATAGGTCCCTTTTTGAAAAAAACTGAAGGAGGGGGCAGATGTACCATAGACATTGAGAAACAAATTCTGTCAACATTATGGATTTTAGCAACACCCGATAGTTACAGGTAAGTTTGCATTGTTCTGTATATATCTACACATGTAAATATTACAAATATTTTAGGAGTATCGGTACAAGATTTGACATGGGTAAATCTTCTCTTTTTTGGTGTTTTAAACGGGTTATTAATGCTCTATATATAATTGCACCAGATATCATCAAATGGCCTAACAGAGAAGGCAGAATTGTAGTAAAAGAAAAATTCAAAAGTTTTGCGGGTATAGATGGAGTTTTAGGAGCCATAGATGGTACTTATGTAAAAATTAGAGCTCCGACCGAAAATCCCCAACAATATGTGAATAGAAAATGTTTTCATGCGATTACTTTGCAAGCCATAGCTGCGCCAACACTACAATTTATTGACTGTTTTACTGGTTATCCAAGTAGTGTTAGTGACTTAAGAATTTTTAAAAATTCACCAATTTATAATGAATTTATAAACAATAATGACTTGTATTTTTCGCAAAATGAAAATGAATTCATCATTGGTGATAAAGCCTATCCCTTATACAAATGGTGTCTGCCTCCATATATAGATAGAGGAAATCTGAATGATATGCAGCTTAATTTCAATACCGCACATGCAAAAACAAGGCAAGTAGTGGAAAGGACATTTGCTTTGCTTTTTGGCAGATTTCGGAGATTACAAAGTTTAGATATGAAAAGGCTTGATTTAATTCCAAAGACAATTATAGCTTGTTGTGTGCTGCATAACATATGTGTAATTGATGAAGATTTACAGGTAATTAATGAATATGTACATGAAGGTGCAAATGTTATAGAAAATGAAGAAAATGCCATTGATGTAAGAGAAAGACAAGTTGAGGGAGAAATCTTACGACATCACATAGCAGCAGAATCATATGAAAGAAATGTGTAAATTGTTGCATTTAATAAAATAAACTGTTACAAACATAAATTTATTGTTTCTGTTAGTTAATAATACCTACAAAATGAAGTTTTTACTATAAATAAAACATTTTATAAAAATCATTTATTTTTATTTTTTTTAATAGAAAGAAATTTACTTTTCCAGCAATTTGTCCATATATTCTTTAAAAACTTTTAAAGAATCTCTTTTTATTTCCATATTCTCATCATGCCTTCTTTGCTTTGCTGCTTCTCTTGCCTTTACATTCTCTTTATATTCCATTTTTTTTTTCTAATTTAGAGATCTTTGGTGGTTTTTCGTTTTCTGATTCGCTTTTTCTTTTACTTGTTTCAGTGCCTTTAATGTTATCATGAGTACTAGTGCCAACCTCATTTTTATCTAAAACAAAAATGAATATTTGTATATATAATATTAGCATATAAAACAATTGTATGTTGTGGTACCATAAACCAGGGCTACTTTGTACAGGTTTTGGAACATTTTTTGATAAATTTCTATTCGTGCCTATGATATTCACAAGGATTGCCTTTAATTATACAACGATATATGTCGATATGTATATATAATGCTCTAACAATTTTTATTATTTTATTATACATACATATTGACAAAATATATATTATTGTACAATTATAAAGCCCATCCTTGTGAATATCATTAGACACGAAATGAAATTTATCACAAAATGTTTCAAAATCTGTACAAAGCAGTTCCAGTTTACGATACTAATACACACATGAAAAAAGAAGAACTAGATCAATTCTTGCAAACATATAGAACTGGTGCTGAATGGACTGGAAATATAGTCAGTAACTTATATAAAGTATGGTGTGCTATAAAAAATGACAATAGTGCTACTTCCACCCAGGATATGAGCACAATTAGCCAAGAGTCAGACGTAGAGAATATGTCTATTGCAGAAGAAAATTTGAGTTTTTCAACTCCAAGAGCTGACTCTGGGGAACCTTACTCGCATAATGCAAGAGAGGTTTCCCCAGTTCAGGTACAACCTTCCACAAGTTCACAGTGGAAAACCCCTGAAGACGCCAGCAAAACATATTACGAGAGCAAGGGAAAAGAAGGTTATCAAATACCAACACCATTTAAAAAATGTTTGATATTTCCTAATTCTAACCCTTCTGAAATAAAAACTCCAAAGCGCAAGAGAAAAATATTTCCTGCAGTGGTGTCCAGTGGGAAGTACCGAGAGTTTTACGAAAATGAACAAAATAAGAAGTTACTCCCCAAGTCAAAAAAGAAAAAGGGATCTAGACCAGTTGAAAGTTCTGATTCAGATGTAAGTGTCAGATACAATGATGAAGATCTAGATATCAGTGATCTCGAAAATTTGATATGACAGTGGGAAAATATGTTATTCTCAAATATGAGAACAACCATTACCCTGGTGAGTAAAGAAAACCGGTGATTCAATGTTTGATTGAAATGACCTCTGTACTTATTTATTATTCTAAAAAATATCTTACCTTTGCAGGAGTTATCTTGAAGAATGACTTTCAAGGGGCAGAAATTCGATCTATGATTACCGCAGGGCTGATGGATTCATGGAAGTGGCCAGTCAAAGATGATATATTATATTATTTTAAGGAGGACATTGTTTGTAACATTGCAGAGCCTAAACAAAAGTATCAGAGGGGCCACTACTATGTTCCTGAAATGACTAAATTTGAATAAATGTAAAAATTTTAAAGGTGTCCATTACTCACCCAAAATGTGTCCGTTACTGATGATAGTAGGTCTGTTCCAACATGAGTCAGGAATTGGTTCCAAACCGTTCGAAATGTGCATCCAACTAATTCTTGCGATATATTCAGTGACGACACATTTAGAACTTAGCTGCAAGGGCGTACCCAGGTAGGGGTAAGGGGGGGGGCAGCTGACCCCCCCCCCCCTAGAAGATAAAATAAACGTCAATTTTCCTGGCAAGTAGGAATTAAAAACGTGTTACCTACTTTGCGCAAAATGAAGTGTTGGAAACAAAATATCTTTTCAGTCAGATATTTTGATTTAATATTTTTTTATCTATAATTAAATATTCTACAACATTCGATATAGCGACGCAATATAATTTAAATCTCCCGCGAAACCGTCGCATCTCGTAGTTTCCGCTCCCGACGAGACAATCAGAGACATCTGGGATTAAAGCCGAATATAATTTGGAGAAAACAACATCTAGCGCTATCTAGTTACGGACGACAGTACTTTTTCCAGTAAAGAGAAATAGCATCAATTTATACGGTCAATAGCGACATCCTGTATTGAATAGCAATACCACGAAGAACGTTCTAGCATGGACTATTCTGGAAAGGAAAGACAGTGCAGTGATAGCAAGTATGAGACAAGAATGGAAATAGAGTCGAGTATTTTCTACGTATTTCGGGAGCTCTTCTAATATTTGAATATATAAGCGGGATCGTGAGGCAGAGCAAGGCAATTCAGTTCAAATACAATTCAATTCAGTTCGGAGTTTAATACGAGCGAATATTTCATTCGCCATAGTGTCTTATAGTTTAGTTGCGGCGACACGAGATTTACGTTTACTGCGCAACAACTGGAAATATTACTCCGTCAAATGGATATTAGGAAATTCTTTGAAAGAGGTGAGTCAAAACAAAACACATATGTACCTAATATGATTATTTGATTTGTTTAAGGGGGACTCTCTTATAGGAAATAAATGATATTTGAATGTGATGTTTTTATAGGTATTATCTTGATCTTTATTTTCGTCTTATGCCTAAACACCGTAAGAGTAATTTTGTGTATCTATTTTTTAGGGACAACACGCGAAAAAAGAAAAAAAGGTCGGGAAAGTAGCAGTGGAAGCGATGAAAATGACAACCATGATAAAACTACTCATGTAATGCCAAGATCATTGCATGCTAACATTGGACAAGCGTCACATTCTCCAGCAAAACCTGTAAATATATCTGTTGCCGACTATTCTTCTCCATCGACATCCCAACAAACTTATGACGTCAACGTCGATCCTGAAATTATAGTGGACGATGGCTATCATGAAAATGATCTGGGTCGTTATGTTGGGTTGGCTACCCAGCTATCGACGGAAAAGAAGAGGGAGTTGTTACAAAATCCTTGGATCCCGCCCAGAAATTACGATTTTGTAAGTGATGCATTGAAAAGAAAATTTAATCATGCTTGGTTGGATCAATATGCACCATGGCTAGTATATTCCAAGCGACTAAAAGGCGCTCTTTGTAAGCATTGTGTTTTGTTCCCTACGCCCATCAGCACTGTGAGAGGAATTTTGGGATCATTTATGGTCAGGCCATATATAAAGTACAAAAATATGCATGAAGACTGCCGAAAGCATGCAACGACCAACCTTCACCTAACTGCGACAAATGTTGCAATAAATTTTCTTGAAAATGTTCCTGTAGGCATCCAACTGCAAAGTGGACACCAAAAAGCAATTGATGAAAACAGACAAATATTGTCATCAATTATTTCATGTATAGTATTTTGCGGTACACATGATATGCCTCTTAGGGGAAAACAAGCAGATGAGGGTGTTTTATTAGATTTATTGAAGTTGAGAATCAATTCAGGGGACGACAAATTAAAGAGTCACCTGGAAAAGTGCAGTCGCAATGCAGTTTAGACATCGCCAAAAATACAAAACGAATTGATAAATTTATGTGGCGAAGTTATTAAGGAGAATATAATAAGTGAGGTTCAGAAGACCATGGCTTATGCAGTCTTAGCTGATGAAAAAGCAGACGTAGCTGGGAAAGAACAGCTGTCAATAGGCGTGCGGTTCTACGACGAAAGCAAAAGGAAAATCAGAGAAGAATTTGTAGGGTTCGTTGAACTAAAAGCACAAAATGCTTCAGCAATTGCCGAAGCAATTGACAATTTCTTGTTTAGTTCTAACCTCCCAACCGAAGATTGCGTAGGATTTGGATTCGATGGCTGTTCTACAATGGCAGGGAAAGAGGGTGGCGTACAAGCCATTTTGAGAAAAAAATATCCTCGTGCTTTATATTTTCATTGCTCAAGTCACAAAGTCAACCTTGTTGTGAATGATGCGAACGCAGTGCCAGAAATTAGAAATACTGTCGCCACTGTAAAGGATGTTATAACGTTTTTCAGAGAATCGACTACACGTCGAAACTACGCTCCAAACCTACCACGATTGTGTGAGACGAGATGGTCCGAAAAATATAAATCAATCAGAAAGTTTTCTCAACATTTCCCAGAGCTTGTGAAATCTCTAGAAACGTTATCCGTAGAGGGAAATTATGCCACCAGAAAATCTGCATATCAGTTGCATTCAGCCGTTACAAAACCAGTGTTTATTGTTGCTCTACAAACAATAGCCAAATATTCAGCAGTTTTAGAACCAGTAGTTAACGCACTGCAAGCTAAATCGATCGACATGATCTCGGTGGGGGAACACATCAAACATATCAAGGACATTCTCAGAAATGACCGCGAGTTTCCTGATAGAATAAGTAATGAAATGCTTCAAAAAGCGCGAGCTGTTGCAATGGATTTGAACATAGAAATTTCGGTTCCACGTCTTGCTCACAAGCAAACACATAGAAGTAATCCGCCATCAGACAATGATAACGAATATTGGCGGCGTTCCCTGATAATACCATACATTGATTCACTCATTTCATCGTTGAATATTCGATTCTCCCAAGAAAATACTCCGGCGTTTGCTTTAAGTAAGCTACATCCCTTGTATATGACCAAAACCAGCATTACAGACTTACACAAGAACGCAGAATCATTCCAAGAATTTTATAACCTGGATATCACCGGAGAACTGGACCTTTGGCATAATTTATGGGTGAAGAAGGCTTTATCAGATGATCAATTAAGGGACATAGAAGTAGTTGATCTGTTCAACGAAGCCAACATTTTTTACCCTGCTGTCAGAAAGGCATTGATTATTTTAAGCACTATCCCATGCACCACGGCGACCGTAGAACGGTCCTTCAGTACGCTGCGAAGAGTTAAAACGTGGCTTAGAAGCACCATGGGTGAAGAAAGGCTTACAGGTTTATGTCTGATGAGCGTACATCGCAATTATTTAAAAGAAGACAGTGAGTTTATTGAAAAGACTGTCATAGACAAATTTTCGGCAAATCCAAGAAGATTACTGTTAAATTAATATATATATTATGATTATTATATATATAATATTTTGTTTTGTGTCATAATCAAACTAATTAATAAAAGTCAATTTTCATGATTTTTTGTTTCAATATACCCGACCGACCATCTTCTCGAAACAGGTATGAGCTGCCCCCCTAGCTGAAATCCTGGGTACGCCCTTGCTTAGCTGGTCAAACATTTCGAACGGTTCGGAACCAATCCCTGACGCTTGTTGGAACAGACCTAGTATGTCCACTACTGGCACAGTTGACAATATTTTACAAATTATTAAAAAATATATTTATATAATAAAGTTACAAGCGTGAACATATACTAAAAGAAAGCAGATAAAATTTACTACACTTTGGCGTATTTCATAATCGTCTCGATAAAATATCATAATTTTTGAGAATTATTGAAATTGAGATTTCTTCTTGGGTGTCCATTACTGGGGCAATTACCCTATATTCAGAAATAAAATCTTAAACCATTTGTATTTTAATCTTACCTTTCTAATTCTTCCTCGATTTGTTCACCAAGGATAATTCCAACCCCAATTTGAATGTCCATGATAGAGAATATTATGAACCATGCACAAATTAGATAACTAAATAAAAAATATTTTTTCGGCAACCGTCCGGGAAGTGGCTACTTCCCGGACGCTTTTTCTTTGAGAAAGTAGCATTTTTTCGGCCTAGTCCGGGAAGTACGCACTTCCCGGACTAGGCCGGGAAGAATCACATCGTTGTTGTCATTGTGAATNGATAACTAAATAAAAAATATTTTTTCGGCAACCGTCCGGGAAGTGGCTACTTCCCGGACGCTTTTTCTTTGAGAAAGTAGCATTTTTTCGGCCTAATCTTGGAAGGTATGATTTTGATAAATGCAGTTGAACATTACCATAGCAACGAAATAACGACTGACAGCTATCTGAAGTAAAATTAGTCGTCATTTTAATTTTCGAAAGTTTGCATGATTTTTGGTCGCAATTGTCGCAATAAACTATGGAAAGCAACAGCGATAGTGAGTTTGAAAATGTGCCTTACGAAATTTCCAATGCAGCTGCTGCTGCTACAGCACAATTATTGCCTGAAAAATCAAAGCCCAGGTACGAAAACGTTTATGATTTGTTCACGAGATGGATGGATATGAAGAAATGCAAAACTATTACAGAGGATGTAATTTTAGCTTACTTGGCGCAAAAATCTGAAACTGTCAAATCCTCTACCCTGTGGAGCATGTACTCTATGTTGAAAAGTACCATTTTAGTGAAGAAAAATGTAAACATAGCCACTTTCCCAAAGGTAATCGCATTTCTTAAAAGGAAGAATGTTGGTTATAAAGCAAAGAAATCAGAAGTCTTCAGCAGCGAGCAAATCAACAAATTCATTAGAGAAGCAGATNCCAGTTGAGGCGGTATCTAGAGAAATTTGTGGGGAAAGATATCTGACGGCAAGTAAAATTATTCCCATTATAAATTGTCTTGTAGAAAATTTAAAAAACACTGCTCCTACTACAGAACAAGGCAAAACATTTAAATTAACTACTTTAAATGAACTACAAAAACGCTTTGGAGCTGTGGAACAAGTAAATGCACTCGCGGTGTGTACTACTTTGGATCCACGTTTTAAAAAGATCCATTTTAATAATAAATCTGCCTGTGGCCAAGCGATTAATACTATTAAAGCTATTTGTGGAGAGCTAACTTCTGAACATGCACCTACAGTTGACGAAAATGTATGTGAGACTGATGAAGAAATTTCGATTTAGTCCTTTCACAATAAATTAGCCAATAAATCCGTGGAAGAACAAGCAGATAAAGGAGACTTATATCTATATGTAAAAAAATATATTTAAATTCACCAGTTTTGCCCATAGGTGCAGATGCCATCGCATTTTGGAATAACATATCTTCTGATGATGCACTTAAACAAATAGCAGTAAAATATGTATCTACATATAGTTGGAACATCTGTCCCATCAGAAAGACTCTTTTCGAAAGCACGGCTATTATGACTGAGAGTCGTAATAGGCTAACGGGAAAACGCTTGTCAAAATTATTATTTTTTAAATTCTTTACCAGCAGAAATATGGAATATTTAATTATCTCTATCTATCTATGTTAAATATTTGAGACTTATTTACTTTTCCTTTGTTGTATATTTTATTTATGTTTATTTTATGCATGCATGTTAATTATATTTATTTGAAAAGCATTTGCTTTCTTTGTTATTTATTTTAATTATGTTTATTTTTTGCATTTATATACATTAATATTAAAAATTTTTGAGAAGCTATATATGTGTTCTATTTTGGTTATAAGTTATAATCATAGGCAAAGTAATATTTATAAAAATAGCTTTTCTTACCAACTTATTCATTATGCCGGATCGGCTCGCCGGATCGATATTTAGAGTATCGATATTTATTGTTCCGATATTTAGGTGGATCGATAGGTACTTTTGTTGCGATCCGGTATCGATTCTAAATATCGATACTTTTGCGAGCATCGCCACATCACTAGAGGTTATGCTTAACTCAAACTGACACATCTAACACAACAACGCATGCGTGACCCGATCTCGATATCTAAAACTACCACTTCGGCAGTGTTTTACCGATCGACGTCGATTTCGACCAACAACTTCGATAGTAGACGTTAAAACAAGTTACTAAGAATACTGAGGTACCTAACTAAATAAAGAAAACACATGGCCATTTCCACCGTATTGCCTTTTAAGTGTAGTTAACTAAGGGCGTTTAAAATTTTAAGCCTTAAGTAGTAATGTTACCACCGCCGAATTATTAGTTTCATTTGGAAAGTCTACTTAAACAGCCAATATTCATAATTTTTAGGTTTTTTTCACTTGTTGCCTATTCATGCCTATATCTTCACCTCAAATAAATCAAAACTGTTAAAAGTGTGACACTGACATTTCTGTGTTCTGTTTTCAGTTTTCTGTTTTCCGAGTTGACAAGATTTAAGAAAAAAACAACGATCGGCAAATTTTAGTAATGAGGAAAAAATATTACTAATGAATATAACGATGGCCTAACTGTAATACCCCGTATCCATAGAAAAAGGATTATATATAAATCAGGGATGTGAAAAAATAATCGATTTTCATATTAATCGATTATTT